GATTTATGTGATCTTTTTGAACCTGAGTTCCCTCATCTGGGAACCAAGGGCAGTAATACCTTCCTCACAGGACTATAATTGGGTTTGAATGAGAAAACGCAAGCCTGGTGCGGTCCTTGGCACACAGTACGGGCTCAGTAAACATTAGCTTCTATTTGTTATTTTAATAGAGCCCCAATTACACAAGCTCTCTGAAGGTCTTTGTCCCTCTCAGGACAGCAGTTAAATCCAGTGACTTCTGGGAGGAGGGTGAGGATGCATTGCCTGTGGAGCAGGCGGGCATGGGGCGGCCAGCCTGGATGGTGTCCAGCCAGGCAGCAGCCCACGTACCAGCCTGCTCCGTCCCAGGCTTGCCCAGCCCTGGGGAGACCTGAGCCAAACTCCTTCGAGTGGGTCTCTGGCCAGCACCAGGAGAAAAGAACCAGAGGAAGAAGCTGGCTCAGGGCCCCTGCGTGGGGCCTGGGAGAAGCAGCTCCCACTTTAGCATAGGTCTCCCTCCCGGATCCACCCAGCTGGGCTCCTGAGAGGGGCCTTCCCACTGAGAAACAGGAAGGACAAGATCAAGGGCTAGAGTAGGTCCTTTTTTGCAAATGGAGGTGTCCAACATCCCTCAGTCTGCACAGACCTGTGTGGGGAAGGTTCTGTAGGGTGAAGTAAAGACACACCAGGGCCATGGGGCATGGGTCAGTGGCCGCCAAGCCTTTTTTTGTACCTCGGGTGAGGAGAGGATGCCTTTAGCCTAGAGCTCTGGACACTGGCCAGTGGTCTGAGCTCCTGGTCACTTCCCAACCTGCCCTGAGGACAGTGCCCCCTTGCTGCCCAGTCACATGTTACCCTCAGGCCAGGCCAGCTCTCGCCATCCGTCATGGCTTCCTTGAAGAGCTAGCACCAGCCCCAAGCTTGTGTCTCTAAACAACCAAGCTGCTTCCCAGAGCTGCCACCGTTCCCAATGCCCAGCATACCCCGTACCCCACCCCCACCAGAACCACTCCCCTGGCCCCCTGTCGCCCACCCCATTGTTGGGGCTGATCTCCCTGGGTCAGCAGGCTTCAATCTTACCTGCATAAACAAGAGCCTTTGACTGGACTGGGCTGGGCTGGGATGGGGAAAGGCAGTCTTGGGAGGTGAGGGTCACCTCCTGTTGTTCCCCTAGCCACCCTGGTGGTCTTCCTGCCCTAACAGCCCATTCCTTCTGGGGCCCAGAGCTGGCTGGCCTTCTATAAGCAGCCTGGCTGTTTTCTATAGGGCCCATCACCATGACATCGGCCAGGGAGGGGCTGGGCCCAATGGGGCGTTGGCCCCCAGCAGCCCTCCCCCAGGAGGAACAGGGAGTGGCCCTGGGCCTGCTCCCCAGAGACGGGTGCTGGGATTAGGGTATCGACTTTCCTCAGCTTTCCAGGTGGTTGCTGGTGGCGCCTATTGAATTCCCCGTCCATCCACTCCCAGGGCTGCGGGGGTGGAGGTGACTGGGCGGCCACTTGGGGCCAGGCTGGGCTCCCTGGGAGAGAAGGGGGAATGGAGGGGACGGCCACAGGGGCCTGTGACAGAATTTGGGACAGCCTGACAACTTAAGGGTGGAAGAAGGCTCCAGGAGAAGATTCTGGAGGCAGCTGTCTGGCAAGGTCTTTTCTGGACAGCTTGTCTGGTGTTGCCTGGAAGTGAGACTCAGACCCGACCCGACCCCCAGCCACCCCAGCTCATTTGCGCTGTCCTTTGGCCACCATTGCCTCTTGTTCCTTCCTCTTGCTTCCGAGTCTCCACCAGGCTCCTCACTGAGCAGGTCCTGATTTCTACTTCTGACCTGTCATAGTTACTGGGAGCCCCACCTGGCACTCTGAACGCTCTGAGGCCATGTTCCCCTTGAAGATGCCTCCCCACCCCCAGCTCTGGACCCCTCTGGAGCTGGTACTGTGGCGCAGGGCCCCTCCCAAGCTCCTGGAGGCACACACCAGACCAAGATGGCCTGGACTTTCTATCTGCCCCCTTTTCCCAGAGGCAGAACCCAGATTCTACTTCAGCGCTGGGGGTGCAGGCCCAGGAACAACAGTGGCCAGGCTCTGCCCAGGGACGACTCCTGCCAGCACCAGCCTCCACCCTGGCTGCTGGGATGGGCTCCTCTGATGGGCTGACTCAGCATCTGGCAGTGACATCTCCTGGAGACAGCTGGGGGAGGGGTGGAGAAAAACAGGCTGGTCTCCCTGGAAGAAGAGAAGTCCCCCGCCTTGGGAAGGGAGGGAGCCCCCAGACACCTAGGAAGGAGGGGGCTGGATGGGGCTCTGTAGGTGTCTAACATTTCAGGAAACCACCTGGACCTTCCTGCCCCCCCTGCTTAGCCACCCCCAGCGGGTAATGGAACAGGTCCCAGTACAGGGGGAAGGGAGCAGGGGGGGAGCTGAGCCCCATTTCCTTCAATCCCCATGGCTTGGGACTGGCGGAGGGGAGCGAGGATCAGTAAGAGAAGCCTGCGGCCGTGAGACTCAGGCCTGACCACCAGGCTGCCCCAGCCCAGGCCTGCCCACTGCTGCATCGCTTATCCCAAGCTCAGGCTAGAGCTCTGGCCGCAAGAGGCCTTGAGCACCCGGAAGGAAGGCTGTGGTTTCATCAGCGACCAGCTGCCTCCCAGCAGAGGCCGCCGCCACTGTGGGAGAGCAACCCATGTTTATGACTCCCGCTGAGGCCTCCTCCCAGTCTGGACTTGGGTGCTTCGGGGCCAGCCCATGGATGGTGGAAGGAACATGGGATCCAAGTCAGAGAACTTGTGGGAGCTCCGGCTCCTCCACTGTGAAGCTGGGTGACATCAGGCAGCGGGCTTAACATCTGGACTCTCAGTTTCCCCGTCTTGAGAATGGGGGTGACCAGCCCCAGCCAGGTTGCTATGGGAAGGCTCTTCGGAATGAGAGGAGGTGGGGAGAAGCAGGGACGTCACAGCT